GGTATAATGCGCTTTTAGATTCTAGTCTAAATATTTATAGAACACAATGATATCGGGTCGTTTTACATGCAATGTTCTCTATAATACATCGCGATATGAAAACATGTAGAATGCAGGTTGATGGATTTGACAACATGAGGTATCGTTTCAGGAAATTATTTCTCTCTCTTTCTCTCTTGATTCCAAACACATGATTAGCTTGTGACTCTGCTGTGTTATTGACTTTTCGTTACGCATTATTTGTATATGTTTTAGTCTGCAAATAAGCGAAACTCGCTTAACCTTCTGAATACTCCGAAATATTCAGCAGATTTATTGTATTATTCCTTTGGAAATTCCAAAATCGGTGTCTAAATCTTTTTGGCTGTTAAATGGATCATCATATTATTGTTTATCAATGATATTAAAATTATCGCTATTTCTATCATTACAGAAGATTACAATCGCACGTTGTTTAAGTGCTAATTTCAATTTATGCAATTTATAATTGTTTTGAATCGTGCCAATTTTGTCTTGGAAATACGACTTTTTGCTCCGATTTTATCGAGCAGTATTTCATTAATATATTCGTAGTATTCTTTTACTACTAGTTGATGTATCAGCGTTAGCTCCTTTTGCGCGCGGAGCAGCAACCCGTCTTGCGTTCGAGTAGTACGCTCAACGCGCTCGATTCATACCGATAAATCGACAAGGAAGAGCAGATACAGTTGTATCGAATATGCTTATTGCCGAGTCGGTAACACATCCACCGAATTTTATCGACTGTTTATAGATTGTTACTTTCGAGTTTTGCAATCTCATTAAGCACTATGTAATTGCATATGGAGTCTTATCGCACAATTTTATTGTTTTGAATTCATATATGAACAAAGATTTATCATGAGATCGATTTATCATAAAGATTTATCATCTCGTACATAAAATAATTATTGCATTTTTTTCTTACTCATTTTATTTTACTTATTCAGATGAAAAAGAATGCACGTTAATTCGAAATAAAATTAATTTGCCAAAAAAGAAACCTGATGCAATTATTTAAATATCTACGGATGAATATAAAATAAACGTAATTGCAATGAATTGTGATTTGAATTTCTATTGAAAAAAATTCGTTGAACGTGTTATCCGTTTTGTTTTGAATTGTGGATTATTTTAAGCGATAAAAATCTCAAAGAAATCTCGATAAGATTTTGTTCTCCAAAATATTATATGCATGTCTTGCCTTCACTCGATCCTTCGATCTTGACTTGGCCTGTAAAAAGTGCATTGTACCTTCGTTGACACTCGGCTTAAATAATTTCTTTTTCTATTTTTGAAGTAGATGAATGTATGCGACACCTCGTCTATATTCATATACATTTTTTATTATCCACGACAGGATATCAGCAGGTTTTCCGGTCGTCCTTGATATTTCAGACGTGTATTGACGCGTAGTTATGGTATAGATCGCGAAGCGAACTCAAATAATTTGCCTGCGCTTTAACGCTATCTTAATTCTTGCCTACCTTGAGCCGGAGTATCGGTCGATAGTATAGTATATGCGGGAATTAGATACAACATGTTTGAAAAACGATAACGCTTTGTAGCCGGTTCAGTCTGTCGACTCGCACATCGCGCTACGTGAAACGCGGGAACGGGATCCGAGCAGTTTCGAGAGTTAATGATAAAGTCGGATTTTCATCGTCAAATGGTTTATTGATGCTTTCTATCAACATTACAAATGTGTATGAAATGAAAAAAAATGAAAGAGACTCGGAAAGAGTATCGATATTTTCATATTTAATATTTTTTTTTTTTTTTCAAGAAAATATAATATTTTTAATTTTATCAAATATTATTACATTGATCTTTATCTCAATTAATTGAAATAAAAAAATAAGATATGAATAGTAACTTTTAATATTTGCTAGTTTATAAACTCATATCTTTTAGTTTCTGGAAAAATTTATGAATAAGTAAATAAAATTTCTTGATAATTTATAAATATTAAATACTGTATTTCAATCGTTTTCAGTTGTTATTAAATAAAACGCAAGAAATTTAGTTACAAATGTAAAAAGGATTATGTAAGAAATGGATAACTTCAAGAATGTGGCTTTTGCAAAATTTCTTAACTTGTTTGTTTCTAATGCTTACTATCGATACTTCTTTTCCGATACAAATGCGCTATGAGTAGCGTTTCTTCCGATAAGTCAGGAATCGATATTTTTCGTTCGATATCCTGATCTTGAAGTAGATAAGCACTGAGCCATCCAGAAGGTGATCTATGAACACAGCGATAGATTATTCAATTCCCAACAGAGAGTACGAGATCTTTCTGATGAATGATGATTGTTCTGCGGAATATCAATGTTGGTGCTGCTACAACAAGAACAGATCTGGGCAATTATTATTTACAGCACGAAATACGAAACAATGTTTCAAATTTTATCATTTCAAATTTCAATTATAAAAATAACGTAAAAGCAAATCATATATATACATATATATAATTAAAAAAGTAAATTATATGAAAATTAAATTATATATAATATATAATGTAAATTTATGTGTAATACATATATATATACATAAAACAATTATTCTAATTTACTTCATATAATATAAAACGATGAAGTCTTCAAAAACAGTTACTATTACAATTATTATTATTATTATAACAAAATTTTAATTAGGTGGCTATAATTTATTTATTAATTTGTTCTCTTCTAAGGAAGTTAGTTAAGAAATCGTTTGCCGATTGAAATACAAAGAGATTATTTGATATAAAATTCAACGAATGCATATATCCATTTGAACACACGCAATCATGCTAATTGTATAAGATTAAATTTATTTATTCAAATATAGCCCATAGATAATTTTATATACGCAAAGCCCAGGACTGATAAATAGATTTGATCAGATTTGATCTAACTTAATTATTTCATTGAGATTAAAATTTCCTTCGAAATGTCAGCCGAAATTTAATTTTGGCAAGCTCGCGTATCTTCCTTGATGAAGTGTGACGACGCGAAAAGAACGTATCGCATCTATTTTTAAACCGCTCATGTGCTGCAGGATGTCCGCTCATCCGAATGTGGTGAGATAACATATTCCCAATTTAATTTCTCAAAAAAAAGGTCGTTAAAAAACAGGCTTCTCCTGCACTGCCGCTTCTTCCACGTCTAGAAGAGAATCAAGAAGCAGCGCTTTCCCAATTTTTTCATTTCTCTTATCTCCGATAAAAATCAAGTGCTCGTGCGACTCGATACTTTCGGAAATTTCCTCGTTCCGTTACGTAACTCCCCGCGGAGTGCACGCACCACTCTCTGTGCAAATATCGCGAGAAGGTGCACGGCGATAATCGGCCGGCGCCGATAATTTTTTCTCGATTCCATCATTCCAACGGCGCAGTATCGATAACGCGCGCCGGCCAGCCACACACGTGTAACCCCGTAATTATTTATTTTAATTTCATGGCTCGACTGGTTTCTTTCTTTTTTTTTTTTTGTATGATCACTAATAATTCATCGCGTTTTCTCGCGATCTCGGCCGAAATACGGCGCGACTTCGCGCTGTTTCTTCCGAGTGAACAATTTATTATGGTTCCGTCCAACCTTACGCGCCGGATGCGCGCGCACGGCGATCGATATTTCCGCGAGGTGCACGAGCTGCATACGAACGTCGGTTGTCCGGCGACCAGTGAAAACCGTCGCGGGCCACGAAATAATCGTGGATTCGGGAATGGCCCATCAGGTCGCGGGCCGAAACCACGACGGAGTTTCTTCGCGCGAGCGGCTGCCCCGTGCGCGAAGCCTTTCTCCGCGGGGACCGAAACCGGTATGGTTTCGGCGAGCCAAAGATCCCGCGAGGCGCCACGAGGATGAATTCGCGTTCGCTCCTTCGTTATTCAGCAGCATCGAAAATCGGATGTATATGCAAGCAAAATTTGATCGGTTTTCCCACTTCCGAAACAGTTCGATATACAAGGTGCCTTTCTTTCAGAAGAGCCCGTACTCTTGTTTTAAGATCGTTTCGAATGATACCTAAAATCTCAGCGGTTCTTTCATTGCGAAAGCACGTAATGTAACGTAACGCGATTTCGTGATCGAGAGGATCGTTATAGGCCGTGACTTTCCGAGCCAACATGCGATTCCCGCTTGTTTAAATATAGATTTCTTCGAGATGCCGTAGTCGGGAATTGCAAGCACGAGACGATAAGAACAATGCAAGGGGAGAGATCAGCAAGATCGAGAATGTGCGAAATGCATCGAAATATAAGTGTAATAAATTTTATCACGGTAAAAGTTCGATACCGCGACTTTTTTTGCGCCGTGATACGAGGCGGTAAAATTTTCTTTCTCTTTACGGAAAGTGTGAATAAAGAATTGTTGTACTATACGAGATAGAAATGATTGATTAATGCATGAAACTACGTCGTAATGTTTCGCTCTTTTTTTTACGAATTATTCCTACATTCCTTAAACTGAAAAAAAAAAACATCACTGTTCACGTGGCCCAAGTTTTGTCAACCGCGACTTAGGCGATTGACGGTAAAGAGAATACGAAAATCTAACTGAAGTTTAAAAAAATGGGAAAGAGAAAGGGGAGCAAAAGAAAGAGAAAGAGAGAGGGATGGTGTTGCGGAGAAGAGGAAAGAATGACAGGTCGGCGGGGAGGGAAAAGAGAGTCGCGGCCGGAAAGCTGAGAAAAAAACGCGTTGTAGAGGCGGCAGACGCCTGCTGGTGCAATGGAAGTTTCCACTGACTTAAGGGTGGGGAAGAGGTAGGCGCAGGAGGCGACGGAGAACGGGAAAAAGAATGAGAGAGAAGGAGCGAGTGAGTGAGTGAGTGAGTGAATGAGCGAACCGAGGGTGACCGTCATCGGGTGCGCCGGAGAGAAGGACGGCGCGGCGCGCGACGGCCGGCTCCTGTCGTGGAAACCGGACGTACGCGGCTCGCCGCGAAGAGAAACCTATAGATGAACTCGGGCGGCGCCGTTACCGCGCGGGGTCTTACCTTCGTTTTCGCGAAGGGCGGCAGGCATAGGGGCCATGGCTGCATCATCTGCCTCCTTTGGAAGCCGGGCATCCTGTCGTCGCGTGGGTACTGTCGTCGGTAGGGGGGAAGGGGAGAGATTGACGAGCGTCGGCTGTGTGTGGCTTTTCACACTCTCTCGAGTATCACCCGCGGGCCCGTGTGTCTTATACGATCAGCTGCTGGGTGGATTGTTGTCGGTACTCCGTCGTTGTCGTCGTCGTCGTCGTCGGCGGCTTTGGTATTGACGCGAGCCTTGAGTTGATCGTGGCCGTGGGTTATCGGCCGCTTATCTTGCCAAGTAGTATTACTTCCGACTGCTTCTGGTCGGGGCTGCCTCTCTGGTGCCCCTCGCGAGCGACGCCGATGAGACGGCGGTGGCCGTCGGCTAGGTCGCGCGCGCGACTCCTCTCTCTCTCTCTCTCTCTCTCTCGTCGATGCGCGACCGGCGCGTGCAGTGCGCCTCGATCGGGCGGACGCGTGCGTGGGTGTCTACGCACGCAGGTGCGCTCGTATGTGTGTTACGTGCGTACGTGCCCTGCGTGCGTGCGCGCGTGGGTGTCCGTGCTCTCGTACTGTTTGCGCGCGCGTACGTCGCAGCTGATCACACGTGGATCTGTTGTGACAGCGGGCAGGAGATCCTGGGCGCCGTATGACAGAATGTCGTCGCCGTTCGCCGACGGTAGCTGCGACTGATTGAGACGCGCTTTCTCCCCGCGCGCCTTCGATCGATCGCCGTTCGATATCGTATCGCGTCTATGCGGTCGCGGGCACTCCGCGTGCGTGCGTGGGTGGTCGGTCGGTCGGTTGGTCGATCGGCTAGGTAGTTGGTTGGTTGATTGGTTGGCTCGGTTGACGGATGGGTGAATGCGTGCGACGTGCGTGCGTATGTGCGAGCGTTGTTGCGCTGGTGCGTCCTCGGGCAAGAGCCGGGTGTGCGGTCGTTGTTGCGTGATGTTACGCACCCTCGAGAGACGTCAGACGCAGGGAACGATCGGCGCCTAAATGAGACCGTTTCTCGCGGGCTCGCTCCCCGTCACCGTGATTCACCACCTCCACCGCACCACTACGCCGGCTCCGCGTCGCGAATATAGTATAGTTATCGGCTCGCGCTCCTGTTGCTCCTGTCTACGAATTTGTTCGGAAAGCTACCGGGGAAAGGGGGTTCCACCACGTGAGGAAATTCCTTTTCGCAAGAAATCGAATTCCTTCTTTCCCTCTCTCTTTCTCTCGCGAGACCACAGGATTCTCCTTTTGACACGTCCGCGTCGGTTGCGCTTTCGACAACTTGAGGCTCTCCCTGTATTTAGACAACGGTTCCTGACGATTTGTGTCGTTCGAGATCGGGAGTTCAAAGATCTCGATTTGTCCTTTCTGGTTTTTTTTTCTTTCCGTCTTTCTCCGTAACCGGTGTGTCTTGGTGACTTCAGAACGTGCCGCTTTGTTGTCGTTGTTCGCGCTTCGTGTCGATTTTCTCGATTGTCCGATCGCTACGGCTCGGTTGGCATGGAAAAGTCTTGTGTTACGTGTGTTTTGGGGAACTTTGCTAATCGGTTCGGGAGGTTTGTCTCTTATACACACCGCTGCGAACATAAACCACGCCTCTTCTGCGCGTCCGTATGGGGGAACCGCGTTTTCGCGCGCTTACGCGGCGCGCGTCGCGGCGCGGCTGCGCCACGTCGCGTCGTGCGCGAATTTATTAGATCTTGGCGAGGCCTCGGTGTTACCCATAGCTAGCGCGAAACGTGAAATACGACGCGGTCCTCGTCCCGAGCGGTTAGGCGCCGCGTTGCATCAGATTTGATCATCCTAACAATTCTGACCGGTTAGATATTATAAAATCAGCGCCCGAAAGTTTCTGTCTTTCTTTTTTTTACATTTCTTTTTCGTTCGCGCGGTGTGCTCGTCGACGATCGAAAGGTCTGTTGCGTTTCCATAGTGAACGATGGACAACTTTTCTGGAGAACAATACGTATAAATTGTAAAAGTGCATTGAAAGAGATGCAATAGATCTTTTAACGTGTTCTCTGGACCGGCTTGTTTTGGACCGTCCGGCTTTCGATTTTCGAAGGAATTCTCGTTATTGTTCGTAATCTTTAGATTACTTTATTTTCTTTTTTCTTTATTTTTCCTTGTTTTTATCTTCAATAAACCTCTTTATTTATTACTTTTTTCGAATATACTTGATTAACTTGGCATCGTCTTAACTTGGCAGTCTATACTGGTGCCAAATAAAATGCCACTCGATTTTATACATGATTGTCGTAAAATGCGAAAAGGGTTTCGTTCGAATGAAGAGGTCCTTTTTTATCTTATCAAATATGTTGGGGGAGGGAAAATTAATCAATTTCATGTAAGATATCGTCGATCATGTACGAAAGTTAGTATCTTTTTTATATTGCCATCGGAATTGAAAATAAATATTACAAAACATGGATTTTGAATCATCCACTGATAAATTTTCCATGTTCCAGAGTTCCCGATTTATCGTTATCAATATGTTTGATTTCAATAATAACTAAATGGGACACATTTTCGAAAAATGAATGTTCTTCATCACCTTGTGAAAGAACATCTGTGTTTATATTAACTGCATTATGAAATACGTTTCATAATGTTACGTTCAGAGTTTTACACACTCTCACATTTGTCTCGTGAATTCGAGGCATTATAAAATATTTTTATATGTCTTCTTCTTCACATACAAAAATCTTCTTCGAATAAGATTTTTATATGTGAAGAAAGAAATTTAAAGATTAAGAAGATGTTTGAATTTGGTATTAAAAATAAAAATATTAATGTAATTAAGAATTTTAAACATTTGCTTGGCAAAACTATGAGCAGTATTTTATCTATCAACGTAGAACGATAAGGACATATTTTTTTTGCCGAAGTTTTGGAAAAAAAGCAAGCTAAAAAAGAAACGGGATAAAAAGTGTTGCTTTCCGGAAATTATTATTGCTGCTTTATTATCAGAAAATATGAGAAATATGTCTTGTGTTATGATAAAAGACTCATATAGTAAACAATTTTATAGTGACGTTTGTAACGTAATAATGTACATACGTGTTTTCCAACTATATAAATAAAATCTTTTTGCGTATCATTATACCAGTCGTTATACATTCTCACATGATAATTTGCGAGACAAGTTGACACTTATCTTTTACATTTATTCCGTTTCTATCTAATGTATTATACATTAGTAGATATTGATCTGAAAGCCGCACTATTCACGTTATCCCTTGTGTATAACATACATATTTCCTTCAGCGTTTGAAACCGTTTGACTTCAAAATAAATACATTCCTCCATATAATTTCAATCCTTGGTATTTACCCTTTATTTGTATTTAGTCCCTCATATTAGAAGAACAAGTACTATTAAGCATGGCACTTGTTCTTCTAATTTGAAGCCAAGTAATACTTGGGTAAACAGTAAAAAATTTAGTTCCCTCATTTTCTATGAAAAAAAAAACTAATAAATGGAAAAGACTTTTTTTTAAATATATAAATAATGTGTATATACGTAACGTGTTTCAATCTAAAATATAGATTGATGTGAAAGAATTGATAGTTTGCAAGTTAATTATACAAATTGTGAAACTGAAGGATTGAATCGCGCGTTAAAATGCACGGTGAACCGATGATACATGGCTCGAGCGACATTTGTATCCCATCGCGATTACGCTCATCAAGGTAGGTTCAAACGGCGCAGTCTCGGCTGCCCATGGAAGGTTCGAGATGTTCGACCTCGTTCCACCATATATGTTAGTAGTCAGTCCTGTCTGCGTACACGCCTGTCGACACGTATGCTTCACATCCCTGCTGTGGAAGTCTCGTATCGTCTCTTCTTCCCTCTGCCTCTCTGGCCGTAGATCCTTTTACACGTTCGGCGAATAATGCCGGACGATAGACGATTTCTTTAATGTTCGTCCGACGTTTCTCTAATTTGATACTGTTTGTTGGATCCATATCAACTCTCTATGTCTCTTATCACGTCGCATATCTATTATGCGTGTTAATATTTAAACTCATTAAAGAATCATTTGGTTTGCTCTAAGATAATGATAAAAAAAGCTCGGAAATTGTCATCCTTTGCAACCAGCTTTTCTACCTTAATGTTTGCTAGCGAATGCTGTGAATAGCATATGCCATAGACATTGAGTGCTTGCCGCGGTACATGCTTTCAGCACGATGTGTCTCTTAATTCTCGGTAACCCGGTCAGAGCGTTTACTTACGACTCTGTTATTCTCGGCGCTTAGCTATTAGCAAATGCCTAAATAAAAGAGAGAGAGACAGAGAATTGTTAATGAGAAAGACAACTTCCGAATCTTACTGATAACATTTTGGTAGTTTCTCTTTTGTCGCAATAAAATATTTATACAATGAAATCTGCAAACGCAATATAATGCATATAACGTAAATATCATCTCTTTTTACATTTTTTTTTCTATTTGATAGTTACATATACACCTACAATTGACTTACGTCATTTTTATATTTTATATATTTTTCTTATGTATATATTATATATTTTATATATATATATTTTTTTCCTCTTACTCGTGTTATTAGAGGACCAATATTTTTTTATTAAATTTGTAAAAGAAACATCCTATATATATTTTTGTCGAACATGGACTTTGCACGATAAATCATCTCGCTAATCAATGCTTCAGGTGTTCTCTTTTTTATGCGAAATTTTGACGTACCAAAAGTTATCTGATTAGAGATAAAAACTACCGCGAGTGTTTTATTAATAAATTGAAAGAGACCTAATTGTTTCTATATAGATTTTAATAATTGCACGTATGATTTTTGTTACGCTATGTATAAAAGTTAAAAATATAAATAATATTTTTAATAATAATATTCTTTGTTACATTTTTTTTTTGTTAAACAATAACAGTTTTTAAATAAAAAAAGATTCTTAATGTTCCATTATTCTTGTTATCAGCTGTCAAATTTAAAAATTTGATCATGGTGAATTTCACTTTGATATTAAATATTATTTATTTTGCGCTTCTGGAGCATAAATGAGTGACTATATGCAAGCGTCGTAATCATAGTGTGCATAATCTTTAACTTCTTATTCAAGTAAAAAAAATAATTATAGTTCTCGGTCGCT